GTGTGTGTGTGTGTGTGTGTGTGTGTGTGTGTGTGTGTGTGTGTGTGGTGCAGTTAATGAATATGTAGCCTGGGAAAGACAGAGATCAATGACTGATGTTCAGTTAATCATTAGTATCGTTAACATCAGACTTTTGTCTACTCATGCTTTCACTCACCACAGGTAGATATCTGCACCTCTTTTAAGACACTACTGACTTTATTCTTGACCGAGCAGACCAGTTTTCCTGAGACGTGTTGTTTCAGAATGATGCTGTTTGTCTCAGTGTTTCCAGAGAGGAGCTCAGAGCCTGTCAGAGTGTGATCATCCAGAGTCCAGCTGTACTGAGGACTCTCCGCTCCCTGAGAGGAGCAGGACACCTTCATCTCTCCCTGGGACAGACACTCAGAGACCAGCAGGACAGAGGACACAGGAGCTGAAGGAAACACACTCAGATGACTTTTCATATTGACATAATCTTCATCATTCTGTAGAGTTTCTCATACAGAGCAGTCCAGACATGGATACAGATATACAGCACGTAGAATATGAGATGCATGTAATAAATAGTTATTTACCTTGAATGGTCAACTGTAGAACCCTGTTCTCTAAGTGACTTCCATCTGAATCAAAGGTTATAAGTCTATATTCACCACCATCAGTCCTGCTCAGTTTATTGATCCTAAATGTTCCATTACTGGGAGTAAAGAATGATCTGTTTTCTATCCGATTAGACAGAATGATATTCCTTCTCACATACAGTATTAATGTTGTTTTGCTCAACCATTGGTATCTATGTGTTTCTGAGGCTTTGGTCATCAGCTGGAGGACCACAGTTCCTCCCAAAGGGCCATAACACTGAGCTCTGTTCTTTCTGCCATCACAGTAGGTTTCCACACCTGGAAATAATAATAAGGAAAAGTTTAAAAATCAATATATCACATGGCAAGTTCTGATGCACCGTATAAGTCTGAGTAATGGTGCAGCCATAAAACCATGATGTCTTAGTGTTTCCTGTGAAGATAAACATTGTGTAGCTGCAATGAAATGTCAGTACAATGTAATAAAATCTATATTTTTGTCTTTCAATCAGCTTTCATGAACATTTTATGTAGAAATAAGGGTTCACTGGATTTATAAAGAACATGAGTGAAATATTAATCAGGTTAAATTAGTTTAAATAAAATGTTTTTAAAACAAGGTAGAGAAAAATATAAATACAAATATCTGAATCCGTTATTTTTTTAAACAAAAAAGAAAAATGTGTGGTTGAGTTGTTACTGTATATGTTTGATCCTGCTGCATGAAATGTGTCAGTTTAAATAGTCTGGAAGCGGTTGTTGGCTCAATACACAGGGTATTATTGGCTGCAAACCCCCCACTGTGATATGTGCGTCCCATTGGGTGAGTTGCAGTTAATGAATATGAAGCCTGGGAAAGACAGAGATCAATGACTGATGTTCAGTTAATCATTAGTATCTTAACATCAGACTTTTGTCTTCTCATGCTCTCACTCACCACAGGTAGATATCTTCACTTCTGTTAAGTCACTACTGACTTTATTCTTGACCGAGCAGACCAGTTTTCCTGAGACGTGTTGTTTCAGAGTGATGCTGTTTGTCTTGGTGTTTCCAGAGAGGAGCTCAGAGCCTGTCAGAGTGTGATCATCCAGAGTCCAGCTGTACTGAGGACTGTCCGCTCCCTGAGAGGAGCAGGACACCTTCATCTCTCCCTGGGACAGACACTCAGAGACCAGCAGGACAGAGGACACAGGAGCTGAAGGAAACACACTCAGATGACTTTTCATATTGACATAATCTTCATCATTCTGTAGAGTTTCTCATACAGAGCAGTCCAGACATGGATACAGATATACAGCACGTAGAATATGAGATGCATGTCATAAATAGTTATTTACCTTGAATGGTCATCTGTAGAACCCTGTTCTCTGATTGAGTTCCATCTGAATCAAAGGTTATAAGTCTATATTCACCACCATCAGTCCTGCTCACATTATTGATCCTAAATGTTCCATCACTGGGAGTAAAGAATGATCTGTTTTCTATCAGATTAGACGTAATGTTATTCATTCTCCCTTCCAGTATTACTGTATTTTTGTTCAACCATTGGTATTTATGTGTTTCTGAGGCGTTGTTCATCAGCTGGAGGACCACAGTTCCTCCCAAAGCTCCATAACACTGAGCTCCGTTCTGTCTGCCATCACAGTAGGTTTCCACACCTGGAAATAATAAAAAGGAAAAATATAAAGATCAATATATCACATGACAAGTTCTGATGCACCATATAAGTCTAAATAATGGTGCAGCCATAAAACCATGATGTCTTAGTGTTTCCTGTGAAGGTAAACATTGTGTAGCAGCAATGAAATGTCAGTACAATGTAATAAAATCTATATTTTGGTCTTTCAAGCAGTTTTCATGAACATTTATTGTGGAAATAAGGGTTCACTGGATTTATAAAGAACATGAATGAAATATTAATTAGGTTTAATTAGTTTAAATAAAATGTTTTAAAAACAAGGTAGAGAAAAATATAAATACAAATATCTGAATCTGTTCATTTTTTAAAACAAAAAATATAAATGTGTGGTTGAATTGTTACTGTATGCAGACAGGAACATGTTCTATATTGCAAAAGATAGATGTGACCACAAAACATTTCACCAAGAACTCATGCACAAACTTCCCTCTGCTTTACAGTACACTAAGTTATTGAATACAATGTATTTAATGCTAAACATAATGTTGTAATTGTGACTGAGCATTATCAGCATTAGCTTTATAACTGAATTTGCAATCCTCCTTTTTTTGTCCAGTAATTGAGTGAAAATGAAATAAATCTTGCATCTTGAAGCTTAAGTTTATCTTCGTAAATCATATCAAGCTTTCAGTTTGTTTCAACATAATAGATCTATGACAGTCAATTGAAGATCAAAGAAGAAAAAAACATGTTTAATTATCTTCAGTTATTCTATGTGTCATGATTCTTGTATGAATTTGGTCCCAGCGTGGGTCAGTGGTTGCACTGCAGAGCACATCAATGAAGATGATGTCGAACTGTATATGTTTGATCCTGCTGCATGAAATGTGTCAATTTATTAAAAAAGTGAAACAGCTCACTGTGAGAGACTCCGAGTATCAACACAAACAGTCCGATCACAGCTTCCATGTCGCCTCAGTGTTCAGCCTCAGTTGACCCAGCCAGCAGCTTTCTGACTGACCTTATTCAACAGCAAACATGCACGTTCAAAGTTCAACCATTTTATTCCAGGAAAGAATGTCATTGCTCTCAGCCATGAAGACATGAAAACAAAGTGTCATCATACAGTTTAAACACACAAATATTTTCTCTTTTATTGTATTATTCTTTTACGTTCTGCACGTCCAATCATCTTTGAAATTATAACATACGTGTCAACATTATAATCCCAGTCATAAGGTATTTGGATATTTCTTTTTTTTACTGTTTACTATAACTTTCAAATCTGCTACACTAATTCTTCACACACACACACACACACACACACACACACGCACACACACACTTACACGCCACTCCATAAGACTGACAGCTGAATCTTCTGGTGAGCAGGCACACATATATACCCGATCAAATATTGTCACATCATAAATATGACATGTACCAATGAAGTAATAGAGTTGCTAAGAATATCTGTGTATTTGATGTAAAATGGCTTTAACAAGTATTAACCTACTATAGAAATGCATCATGACTGCTCATTGTGAAATATGTATCCAATAGTAGTTCTCTCCACCAAACTAACTTCTATTTTTTGTTGCTTTCTTTAAATTATATTCAAAATGTAACTACACAAATATCTAACAAATGCCGTTTGTCAAATCGTCAAAAATCGAATTCTTAAATGAACCCTTGTGAAATGAATTATTACAAATAGTAAGACCTTTTTTTAAGAACACCATGACTGAATCTCCCAAAATGTTGCATGCCCTCACACCATCGTATGTCACGTGTCAAATAAACAAGCTTCTCCATGGAAAGTAAATCAATACAGTTTGAAAGAGCAATCCAAATCTGAGCTTGGGAAATAATTATAAAAAGATCTGCTTTGTTATTCGTTCCTTTTGAATGTGCCATTACCCAGAAATTGTCAGTGTGGGATTTAAGTCTTAATGTATTTGAACTGCAGTTACTGTCACACACACACACACACACACACACACACACACACACACACACACATGTGCAAAGCTCTCACATGCATATCAAATTGTGACGCATGTTACATGCTTTACACAACTAATGTCAAACATGTTTACAAAAGCTCCACAATATGTATAACAAACAACATACAGTTAGTCATTCTTTAGCATGTCTCAGAAAAATGAACCAAAATAAACCCCCATCTCTTTTCCACCCTCTCTTTTTATGTTTTGTTCTCCTTTCTGCCTCTGTCACTCATCATCCTCATTTCTCTCTCCATGTATCTCTCTCCATGTCTCTCTCTCTCTCTCTCTCTCTCTCTCTCTCTCTCTCTCTTCTCCCTCTTTCTCCTCTGCCTCTGTTTTTTTCTCTCCATCAATACAGTCGGCCAATGATGGTGCTTGGGCTAAGGAAATGGATGGTGAGTCTATTTTTAGAGCCAGGGAAGGAGGGCAAACCTAAAGTAAGCTTGGGAGGGAGGGAGGGAGGGAGGGAGGGAGGAGAGATGTGGGGAAAAGATAAATCTGCATTCGGCTGCTGCCTCTGGTCAGAGACAGTTGGAGCGACAACGCTGGCTGGAGATACAGCATCGTAAATAAAAACCAGATTCAGCTGCAAAAAGGCTGCAGACTGATATTAGAGCAGAGAAAGGAAGGCAGATCAACTGGACGAGACAAGGAAAAAGGTGAGTGAGAGAGCAAATTGTGCTGAAGACGCTTCCATAATTTCTAAAATGCATGAGCTGAAAATACACAGGGTGGCTATTCTGTGCTTCAGCACAGAGCTGCTGCCTTGGAACCATTTTTAGCTGTTGTATACCGAAGGTGTGGTCTAAATTTAGCAATGGTTACACCTTGGAAGAAACTGGGAGAGGCTGGCAGTTTGGTTGGGCTTGCACTATTTTTGGCATCGTGGTTAAGACGAAAATATATTGTGGGCTACACTCAGGGTTGTAACAATATGGGGCTACATAACAAAATATAAGCTGACACATTCTGTGGCTTTACATGACAGAAATGGAATTTAAAAGAGTCATCTATTTATGTTGCCTCTTGCTGCTCATTGCTGGGATTGTTTGTATTTTGGGCTGTTTACACTGCAACTCCAGAGTAAGCAGGGGATGGAGTCTGAAATGGGGAAGAGGAGAAGAGGAAGGCTTATATGTGATTTCGGTTTGATTGAGTTAGGGGCTAAAAGAGATGGTTGTGTTTTGAAACGCCATACGCTTACAAGTTATTTGTCCAGATGAAGCAGCAAAATGATGTCATTGTAAAAACAGTCTGATGAGGTACAAGTACAACATCAGGACCCTTGAAAATAAACTCTATGCTCAATAAATTAAAAAAATGTGTCTGTCTATTGGATACACAGCACTGTATTAATATGTTCTCCTCAATTATTACTCTCAGAAATGCTGTTGAATCAAATAATGTTTTGTTGGGTGGACAGTACATCGATGTGGTGATATAAATGGTTTTCTAATGAAGCAGAATCTGGCAGCCACAGCCTTTATTGTACCTGGTCAAATAATTTCATCATTTCAATATGATCACTAAAACGATCAGCCCGTCATAGTCCACTGGTATTACCACATCAAGTTATTGTGTCTTGCTTTTGCAATAAAAACCTCAAAATATCCAATGAATTCACTGTAAAACTGCTCATATACTGTACATGACTGTATGTAGGTGCCTAAACATTTTGGCTCAAAACATGACGTCTTTCCTCCTTGTCTTTCTCTCAGCTATGCGGCCGCGGTCCAGACTGCTGTCCAAGAGAAGACTCCTGCTGCCCACAATCAGAGAGGGCACCGAGGAGACGGTGAGGGATTTAAATGAGGCCAACACACTCCACATCGCTGGCCATGGCCAGGTCGTCTCCTCAGAAGACTACCTCCGCTCCATCTGCCACCTGGCCAGCCCCACCTTCCCCGCCAGGCACATCTCCCCTGACAACATCCGCACTCTGCAGCTGGACGCCGTGCACCAGAGGCTGAGGCTGTCAAGGCTCAGTGGGACAACATCTACCACCTTTGTATTCAACCCTACAGACGAAGCACACGCCACCGACATGCAGCCGGGAAAGGAGATAAAACTGAATGGCGAGCTGATGTTTGGCAACTCCGACCCTCTGGAGTATCTTTATGGACACCAGAACAACCTGTCAGGAGGTGTGAGGGGGGCATTTGTTGAAGGAAGGTTTATAAGGCAACATGGGAGTGTATGGGAGGGCCAGGCTCGCTCCAGAGCTCACAGCATCCCCCGTGCTTCAAGTCCAGACATCCTACGCCAGCGCAAGAGCAGCTGCCCTGAGTTACACCCCAGCACTAACACATCTACTCCAAACACCTCCCCAAAGCACAGCTTCTCTAGGTTGGAGACCAGTAGAGGGAGCCCAGCAGACAGAGTGGGAGAGGGGGAGCGACAGAGTCCAACCATCAAACAATCCCTCATCTCCCAGTGGCTCTCTGACTGCAGGTCAGCGTGGAGGGAGGCGCGTGTGCGAGCTTGCATGCTGCCCGCCATCGCTGAGATATAGGGTGCAAATGTACAGACATTGTGACCCAAGACATTCCTCAACAAAGTTTCCAACCTTTTACTGTCAGTGCATGAGACACTGCATTATGTAGATGTGTACTATGCGGATATATTAAGGGATATGATCAAACACACATTTGAAAACATACAGATTTGCCATGATTGTCCATCTGTAGTGTTATATCAATGTAATAAATTACTATTACAACACTTGATGTATTCTGGTGATCACACACAAACATAAATTGACAAATCTGCAAAACAAAATACATTTTTTTACCTTCCTGTGTTTTGTGAACTACGTATGAATCAATAAAACATTGTTTTTATACTCTCAACTATCAAATGTCTAATATTTGATCACAACATCTGTGCTATGATCTCTGTTTCCTTGCATGTGTGAATCCTTCCTAAATGAACTCCCCTCTCGGCTCAGCTGGTGCCAGGCCCTGGAGTTTCTATGGTAACTGTGGTGGGATCCTGCTCTGTTAAACACAAGTGTGGAGAAACACCAGCTGAGCAAAGACGACACCGCGGAACCTAAACATGCATGACGCAGGTCATCTGTTGCTGTCGTGGTACGGCTGCATGTCGACTGCATGTCACAATGAAACGCATAAAAGTGACTGATTCACATGCGCATATTCAAGACATTTCAATATTGCAAAGAACAGAATATTCAGATTTTTTTTGTGTGTAGTATTTTTGGTAAAAATAACAAATATCTGCTCTGATTAAAGATAATTGTTTTTATCTGGAGGTTCAGCTGCAAACATCTCAAAGCAACCATTGGATGTAGTTTTCCATTTTAAACAGTAGAGGTCAGGCTTAGAAAATACTTTGCATTTCACAAGCCATCACAAATTGTGTAACCTTAAATCTCTTATAAGCAATGGTGTGCCACAAAATGAACATTTAATAGACAAATGGCCCATTAGAGGTCATACTAAAAGTGACAACTTACCCAAGTAAAAAAATGAATTGTCTATTTAAGATCTAAAGTATAGTTAGGCCAAACTGAGACATTGGCTGTTTATTCAAATAGTGTAAAGGATCATTCTCATCAATCAAATTGGTTATTCATTTTGTATTTTGCCAACCTTCCTTTCTGTAATGATAATATAGAAACCCCCCCCCCTTTTTATTGTCATATACATATACATTGACCTCTGCATTTGACCCATCCCTGTGTATAGGGAGCAGTGGGCTGCCAATGACAGGCGCCCGGGGAGCCGGGGGTTCAGTGTCTTGCTCAGGGACACTTCGACACGTGGCACGTCCCAGTCGAGGATTGAACCGTTGACCCTGCGGTTGCCAGACAACCCTCTTAAGCCAGGAAGCGGTCGATTGTATTCAATCAGTTATATTTGCTAAGATATGGAAATGGTGCGACATTTGTCGTCCGGAACGACGTCCGACAGGACAAGAATCAAGAGCATTCAGATAATCACACAGGTGTAAAACAAAATCCGTGTTTGACTTTCTTCCAGGTTCAGATTTGGCCTACCTACTTGCTGTAGTTGTTCCCAAACACACCTTTAATGTGCAATGAGGAATTATTATGTTTCAACATTTTGGGTGCTCACTTTATGGTTTGTCCAAATACTTGAAACATACATGCTGATGGTTCCAGTAAGAGAAAAACCACCTTCACTGTCACAGGAAAACTTGTCTTTTCGGGGCTGGAAACTTTCGAAGAGTCTCTTGTGGTCACATCGACTCTCCGGTCCCTCTTTCTTTTCACACTTACCTCAGCACACCAAAATGAGAGGCAAGGGCTGTTAAAAAAACGTATTAGTTCGTCAACACAGGTGGTGTGAAAAGACATCATCAAACATTTAGTTTGATTTGTTTTCAGTCAAGTTAAATAAATCAGTCTTTCTGCAGGTGTCATTATTGTTATTGCTCACCTTCTGAGGCCAAAAAAAACAAAGTCACCCAAATTAATCACATGCGTTTTCAAAACATCATTCTTGTTTTTTCTCTTATTTTCATGTATTTGAACACAATGTGAACTGAATAATATGGGAACTTCTCGTCTCGACCATGCTGTGGAGGGAATCAACCACAGAACAATCCTCAAAATATCAAATGAAAGTAATGCGTAGCCTTTTGACCTGCTCCATCAAGTCAGCCTGAAGCAGTGGGTCACTTACGACGCAGAGTGGTTTATGTGGAAGACACTCTAGTCTACATAACTTCTGTGTTTTAAATGTATAAAGAGATAAAGTGGATTTACTCTAGCATTGTATTTAAAGTTACTGTTTTGACTGAATATAAAATAGTCTCAATATAATACTAATGCCAATAATATATGCCAAGATATAACCTAAGTAAACAAGACGAGAAGATTGTCATTGAAATGAGAATTTGTATTTGTTGTCTGACAGCACACTTTGTGGGTTGCAATATTGATCTCACATGTCTTCCTGTGTTATTTGAAGTGAAATTGAAACTTTGTATGATTAAGTATTTTCTATTGCACATGCACGTGTTTCAGGCAAGGTTATGATTTGGGCTGTTTATATTGGCTGGAAACTGTCAATCTAATGTGGCCACTCTGCTTCCTGACTTAAGTTAATGTAGTTAAACTATCTGAAGCATCTACAGCAGTAAAATTCTACTTTCTATTGGATGCATCAGTATTAACAAGCTAATATAGTGTGTCATTGACAAAGGCCTGTTTTCTGCAGAATTAGTTTATACTTTAAGTACATTTTGCTGATAATACTTATGTACTTTGATTTCAGTAGGAGTTTGAATGCAGGACTTTCACTTTTAATGTAATAGGCTACTTTAACATAAATGGTACTTCTATTTCTTCCACCACTGATTTATTTTTAATCCTTTTTTTTTTTTTTTACATTTCCCCACTATTTACTTGGTATTTAGTCACAGCGTTTTTGCTGATTTATAAAAATCGCTTTTTTATATGAAATGAGAAGTGCAACCACACCAGGCTGTACACACAGTCTGCAGAGGAAGAGACTCTGCTGACGTTTCTAGTTCCTGTCGGTTCATTCCAACACAGGCTCGCACTTTAAGGTGAAGAGCTTGTGGTGAAGAGCTGCACTACTTCACAAAAAGGAAACATGAATTGTTAAATGCGTACCCAAACCCACATTTACCCCCTACACACAGCCAATAGGGCAACTAATAAAAACATATTTTCCATGAGTCGTGTTGGTTTTACATGCACTGCCACTGAAAGCTGGACCGCAGAGTCATCCCTTTTTGTTCCTGTGCCAGAACAAGCTGCACTTTACTGACGTGAGCCGGTGCACTCTCCAGTCTGAAAACCTATGAAATATCAATGGAAGGGAAGTATGAAATATTCAAGCTTGCTAAGTGCAGTCTGTCTGTCAGAAAGAAAATGGAGTTCATCAGAGGTGGCAGAAATATACAGTGTGCCACTGTGAGCTGCTGCGTGATGAATAAATCTCTCGAGAAGTGAACCACAGAAATTCTTGATATGAATCACATTTTGTACGCTCACATTTTTTTTGTCTTTTGTTGGAAAAGGACGCAATTTCCTTCATGCGCTCGCTTCTGTGGTAGTAGTTTTAAGGAAGTCACACTTGCTGACCACTGTTGTTTCATATGAACTTTATAGAAATAAGTGAAAGTCCCTTTCAGTGCTCTTCATTGTCCCCTGTGTCTTAAATTAGCACAGCTTGGCTTAGACAGATTTCTGAACAATTCAACAAATTCAGTCTTTTTTTTTTCACGGTTAAGAAATGTAGTTTGGTGGAACATCAAGCAAAATTATATTTTCACTATAAACCAAGTCCAGACTTGAAGAGAGTAAAATATGAGAAATCAACCTTGGAGACTTCGGCCCTCACCCCCAAAGGAGATAGATATTTCAAAACCTGGACAAGCAAGACCAAAACGTTCTACATAGCTAGAAACCATTAGCCTACGTGAGAAAACCATTTAGTTTGGTGAACCCCCGGTCCCTGTCCATCATCTCCAGCTCTTCCCCCACAGCTCTCCCTCCCTTCTCCATGCCCCATCTTACCCTATCTTGCTCCCCTCTCCCCTAACGAGGTCCTCGACCTTGTTACATCGAATCACCCCACCACGTGCTCCCTTGACCCGATCCCCTCCCCTCTTCTTCAGTCTATTGCGATTGAACTCCTTCCTTTCCTCACCCACCTCATCAACAAATCCCTTGTTTCAGGATGCTTTCTCATGGCTTTCAAGACTGCCAGAGTCACCCCCCTTCTGAAAAAACCATCACTTGAACCCTCTGATGTCAAGAACTTCAGACCGGTTTCTCTTCTATCCTTTCTTTCCAAAACACTTGAACGTGCTGTCTCTACTCAACTGTCTTCCTATCTCCACCAAAACAACCTCTTGGACCCCAACCAGTCCGGGTTCAAAGTGGGTGACTCGACTGAGACAGCCCTTCTTGCGGTGACGGAGTCGCTTCACGCTGCGAGAGCTAACTGCAACTCACTACTTGCCGGAGCCCCGGCCATCAGACCTTTAGAGCTTGTCCAGAAAGCTGCAGCTTGCCTGGTGTTCAATCGCCCCAAGTTCTCCCACACAACTTCCCTTCTCCGTTCTCTACACTGGCTACCTGTAAGAGCTCGCATCCAGTTTAAGACTCTGGTGCTAGCCTACAGGGCAGTGAAAGGAACAGCTCCTTCCTATCTCCAGGCCATGGTCAAGCCCTACACCCCCGCCCGACCTCTTCGCTCTGCTGCCTCCGGGCGACTGGTTGCCCTGTCACTCAGAGGTCCCTGCGGCCGATCGACCCGGTCGCGGCTGTTTTCTGTCCTGGCCCCTCAGTGGTGGAATGAACTCCCCACTGACGTCAGGACAGCGGAGTCGCTGCCCATCTTTTGGCGCAGGCTGAAAACTCACCTCTTCAAGAAGGCCTACCCTTAGCCTTCCGCTTAGCACTTACTTAGCATCTATTGTATCCATACTAGCTTATTGCACTTATTGTTTTCATATTAGTTTGTGGCACTTATTGCATTCGTTTGTCTCTGCACTGTACGTTGGCTCTGGTTTATGCTCTTAGATGCTTATTTGAAGAAAGGAGATGCACTTATTACTTCTGGTGACTAGTAGTTCTCTTGAAAACCGATGTTGAATACACTTATTGTAAGTCGCTTTGGATAAAAGCGTCTGCTAAATGACTGTAATGCAATGTAATGTAATGAACCAACCCTTTAAAACATGCCTTTTATTCTAAATGTCTGAATGTTAGAAATATGTCTTCCTCGGGGCCCTGCTTTATGAGTAATAAGGCAATATAACATAATATATATAGTCACCTATAGTCCTGCCACTCTATTTAAATAATGTGATCTCTAACACCCGTTATTACAAATGGTATATAGGCTGTAGTATATTTCAGGAAATCCAGATTTTCTGTTTTTCACTTTTATTCCATATTTGTTGAAAACTTTAGAAGAAAAGAGAAGGATATCACAAACTGAGAAGGAAGCGATGTGAAGGGATGTCCTTTTGAACAAAAAGTAAAAGAGGATGTAAAACTGAAACTTACAGTTAGACCACGCTTTCTGCAGAAATCAAGCATTTCTTTTCAAACCCATGACTTTCGGAGGACATGACATACTGTATATCCTATATCAGATCTGATTTAATGTCTAATGACTACGAAAGAATGCAGAATCCCTTAAACATTACTGATAATACTGACTTATTCACACAATAAATGTCACGTCACTACCACGCAGCTACAGTGGAAAGAAAACTCATGACCCTTGGAGAGCATATGCCATATATATCAGATCTGACGGAGTAAATATATAACAATACAGATTAAAATTCAAAAATGCAGAATCCATCAAAAATGACTGATAATACTGAATTATTCAAGCCATAAATGTCATGTCACTACCACGCAGCTACAGTGGAAAGAAAGGAAATCATACTCGCCTTCATATTATTCCGAGCCCTCTTATGTTTGATTTGGTGCTGTATACGCACTGATGGTATTAAACACTGATGCCCACCACATGCATACAGAACCAGATGTTGGAAAGATCACCTACCCACACCTTGTGTTGCCAGATTCAACAGCAATGTACACCAACTGGATTTGAATCTTTATTCTTCATGGTATCAAAATAAATAGTATGCAAAATGTAAAAAAAATATTTTTCATAGGTCATATACGCATAATTTACACAAACGTGTGAGTATAAGTTTTCTTGTCACATGCAGCTTTCCAATCGAAAGTTACACTTTTGTTTTATATTCATATTCTCATACATGATACCAAAATATACTTTCAAAATCTAAAATCTGGTTAAGTTATTAGTAACCACATGCAACAGTGAGTGGAGTGAGTGCATAGGTTTTGTTTGTGGTTTCACTTTCCTCTTTCAAAAATCCCCTTGATCACAGGAAGTACGATGAGGTATGTGTCTGAAGAGAGTATTTAAAGGCGACCCTTGGTCTCTAACCCTCACAGTTCTCTTTGACTCTAGTCTATCCCTCTAGCTGCACTTGTTACAGCTCCTCTCTATCACCTTCATCACAGCACCAGTGTCTTCTTCACCAAAAAGGAAACCGACGATGTCCGGCATCATGAAAGTGTTTGTGCTCCTGGCTGTCATGGTCTGCATCTCTGAAGCCCAAAGTAAGTTTTAATACTTCTTTAGCATTCACCACTCTAATGTGGACAATGTGATCTTTGTTTTATACAGTTCGATATGTGTTGGTAGCTGTAAGAAGTGAAAAATGAACTGAATTAATGACTTTTTTTTTTCTTTGTCTTTCTCTAGTGGGTCACACATCAGGAAAACAGTGTCTGTGTCAAAAAATGAGGGATAGAATCACCTCAAAGAATGACATAAAGGACATCCAGGTCTACTCAGCAACCATCTTCTGTGACAAAGTGGAGATTGTGTAAGACGCACTGAAATCTTTAATTTAAATTGTGAGATCTTGCAATAATGTGTGCTATTTAGAAGAGGATTATTGGCTATTTGCATTTTAAACCTCTCACACATAACACCTAGGGTGGCATTTTATTCTTTCTAGCCGAGATTTAGCAAAGGTTCAAGTCTGGCCTCAGTTGTAGTGAAAGTTATTACGAACCTGCACATTTGAGGCACTTCTAGTCATCAATCTAACTGCCTCTACTTTCCATTTCAACAGTGTCTCCCTCAACAGCGGCCGTCGCTATTGCCTGAACCCCAAGTTGGAGGCAGTGCAAAAACTCATGGCTTCCATCATGTGAGTATTATTACAGACATGAATCCGAGCCTCATCTTCAAAATACACCGATCACCCAACTTCTAAAATGAATCTTTTAGTTAATCTCCATATTTCGTAATGAATTACATGATGCCTCCTCCACACTGTTGTAATGTGTCTAATGTGTGTTCTTCTTCTTTGTCATTTCTAGGAAACAGGGAACCTCTTCTACAGCCAGACCAACTAAGCTCACCTCCACCACCAACACAGCTCGCGTCTGACTCTTTAAGTCCTCCGATCAATATGAAGAGCAGATGACCTCTGACCCCCACAAACAAAGGCACCTTAAACGAATGCAGATGTCGTTGAATTAAACTGTTTGTCTATTTATCCTATATTTATACTGATGTGCACTTACAGTATGATCTCCGTTCCATTTTATTTCCTTTTATCTGTTTTTGTAAATAGATGTATGTGTTGTGAACCAAGTTGTATGCATTTTTAGTAATGTCAGTGTTGTTTTGATAATAAATTAAAAAAAGAAATCAAAGAAGCATTGATTCATTGTTTTTTGTTCCGGGTCTGATACTGTTTGTTCCCTATACATCAACAGTGCCACCTTGTGGTTCAGGGCTGCCAATGCAAGAAATACAGTTTATGTGCAAATTTACATATCTCATAATATTAGAATGCCAAGCATTAAATATTTCAACGAGTCTCCTCAACAAAATGAATGGGTCTTACTAGTACTTACATGTATCAGCTACCAGAGGACACCAAAGATGCAGAGACTCTGAGATTACAGGGTGAATAACACACCAGCACCATCTGTTTCTTGAGATTCAAATGTTCCGGCATTTGATTAATCAAAAATCTTAATTTCAAGCATCATATTGGAACTAAGTAACTCAAGTTCACACTTATTTTTCCATATAGATTTAAGTTATAGTTCTCTCCATCCTCACATAATTGTCTGGTTACAAGCCTATTCCTTTCTGAGCTATAGACGATACCATTACAGATGTGCCTGTCCCAGATATATTTGAGATACATTTGAAACTAAAGGCTACAGGACTCATCACTGCACATTGTAAAATGGTCCTTACTTGCTATGCTTAGCATGCAGCATTAGTATATTTTAATGTACAAGGACATTGTGACAATGCACGAAAGTTGTATTGGCACAAAATACCTAAATCTTAGATGCAGAAATTGGCTAGGCTTAAAGGTGCCTCCTGTGTGGACTGGGGGAAAAAAGAATATATTTTGTAATGGACTTTGATCGTGGAACAACCTGCAGGCTAGTCTCAATAGAGACGACCTCATCGCTCAAAAAAAGTTTTAAACAAAAGTTAACTGAAGCTTATAAATTGTTCTTGTTACAATTAATGACAATTGTATCATGTGTATTTTTCATGTCTTCTGTTGATGCACATTGAAAGAGAGTATTCTGCCTTAATACTGACAGGGGCGGCTCAGATCCACTGAGTCTCATAGGCTGTAATGCTCCACACACACACACACACACACACACACATACACACACCCACACATACACACACACACACACACACACACACACGGTGGCATCCAATCCCTAGAGATTTACCCATAACAAACTTTGCCCTTTTTGATAGCTAATCTCTATAGCTGGGTTTATTCCAGCTCATTTTTCTATCATCTTCAACACAAGCAACAAGATATTTTTTCTAGCACCAGTGTCATCTTGAAACCGACGATGTCCGTCATCGCTGCACTTTCTGACCCTTAGTTGTCCATCGCTTGTTTCTAGGCAGATTACATACTTTTACAGGGCTGATGAGGAGAAACTGTTTCTCCTCCTGGCTGTCATGGTCTGCATCTCTAAAGCCCAACGTAAGTTTGTGATTTTATTTGTTTTGTTCGACAGACAAAATAAATCTATATTTGATATATGTTGACATGTTTTGGTAGCTGTGAGCAGAAATATGTGCAGTGAAAAAAAAATCGAATTAACTAAAATGTTTGTTTCTATACAAACACCAGAGACAGGTGTCCTGTGTCTGTGTCAACATCTCAGGAATGGAATTAGACCAGGGACTAAGATAACGGACATCCAGATTTACCCAGCAACCATCTTCTGTGACAAAGTGGAGATTGTGTAACATACACTAAAAAGGCTTGTATCTTCCTCAGCTAACTTGGCACCGTCACACCGAATGTTTATTTTAATCCAAGTCTGGCATTCTTATGGTCCAAGTGTTTTTGTTATAGTTTGTTTCCTCTTTTAAATTGGAAAGTCCTCTCCTCTTGTCTTCTCTCTTGTGCTACTTCCTGCCTTTTTTGTGTTTCCTGTATTTGTGATTATCTGCTCTGCCCTGATTTGTTCCCCCTGTGTCTAATCACCCTGCTCTCCTTGTGTATGTCGTCTGCGTGCTTTCCCTCTTTCAATTGCCAAGTCATCCGCGCTCAACACTGAATATCTTCCGTCTCGTGCACACGCATGTCGAGTCTTTATGTCAACTGAGTCGCGTGTGACCTTGGATGACCCCGGCCGGGTATCCGTTGTCATCCCTGAGATCAGTCCTTCTTCATCTTCTCACTTACGCAGGCTAAGTACTATAGGAGCATTAGCTTAAGCTAAATTTGCTCATCGTTTGTATAGCCTTGTCGGACTTGCGAATCTCTCGCCCTCCAAAGGCTGCAACAAGCTGTCCCTCTCAGGAGGGAACGTTGTTTCGCTGTTCGGATCATCGAGCCCTGGACCGGCGGACGCATGAACTGTGGCATCATGGGTCGCGCATTCCCTCTAGACAGGGGCTCGTCTCCCTCTACCCTGAGGGTGTATGTGGCTGCTATTTCATTGCAGCACGCTAGGGTTGACAATGACCCAGCGGGGAGCCACAGGCTGGTGTCCCTCTTCCTAAAAGGGGCTCTGAGATTGCGTCCCCCAAGCACCCTGTAGGCACCTGCAGAGGACTCACCCCTGTTGTTGGACACGCTAGCTTGCCTCCCTTTGAACCCTTGGAACGGATTGAGCTTAGGTGCCTGTCGGCCAAAACGGCTTTCCTCCTTGCCATCACTTCTGCACAGCATGTAGGTGAGCCACTTGCCCTGTCGGTGAGTGATTCATGCCTGATGTGGAACTCGGATGGCTCGAATGTCACTTTTGTGGTCTAATACAGCCTTTTTTCCCAAAGGTGCTGGCATGCTCATATCTCAATCAGCCTATTCAGCTTGTACAGTTTGACCCCCCATTAGAAGAGGGAGAGGAGAGGACAAGGCTGCCATGCCCGGTGCGGGCCCTCAGAGCTTATTTTGAGGCCACTGCGTGCATACGGTGGTCAGAGCAGCTCTGTTATGGTGGTCCTAAGATGGGCTGTGCTCTTTCGAAACAGCGCCTGTCCCACTGGATAGTGGAGGCCATTGCCTATGCATACAGGGCGAACAGCCGTTCTCTGCCATCCGAAGTGAAGTGCTATCATGCCAGAAGTGTCTTCACGTCATGGGCGACCCTGTGGAGGATATATGTGCTGCGGCCTTATGGGCATCACCAAGCACATTCCCCAGATACTACAGAGTAAAAGTAGCCACCCCCCATCCACTAGGTGTGGTTCTTCTGCCAGGTTCCTCTGCTTCAGCTGTATGAGGTATGTACTTGGGATTCCTTGTGACTCTGTTGATATAAGTCATCCAGTGTTGAGCACTGCCTCTGGTGGTCAGTAAGGATGACATAGAAATAAAGTTACAGATGTAACTACGGTTCTATAAATCCTGGATAACCTCCAGAGTTCTTAGTCTATCGGAATGTCGTGAAGAAGATTCTGTAGGACTGATCTCAGGGATGACACCTGAACTTGCCTTTTGTTTATTCAACCTGCCTGTCCTGTGTTCTGCATTTGGGTCCTCTTGGAACTCCTAAACTTTGACAGGTCTCAGTTGCAGTAAATGTTATAATCACCTCTTCCTGAGGCAACAATAACATACACATTTTAGGCACTTCTCGTCATCAATCTATCTGCATGTATCATATTTACTTATTTAAGAGAGTCACTTCCTGTTTGCCTCTACTTTCCATTTCAACAGTGTCTCCCTCAACAGCGGCCGTCGCTATTGCCTGAACCCCAAGTTGGAGGCAGTGCAAAAACGCATGGCTTCCATCATGTGAGTATTGTTACAGACATGAATCCGAGCCTCATCTTCAAAATACACCGATCACCCAACTTCTAATATGAATCTTTTAGTTAATCTCCATATTTCATAATGAATTACATGATGCCTCCTCCACACTGTTGTAATGTGTCTAATGTGTGTTCTTCTTCTTTGTCATTTCTAGGAAACGGGGAACCTCTTCTACAGCCGGACCAACTGAGCTCACCTCCACCACTAACACAGCTCACGTCTGACTCTTTAAGTATTATATATATATTATTATTATAACCGATCACCCAACTTCTAATATGAGTATTTCAGTGAATCTCCATATTTATTAATGAATCACAGGATGCCTTCTTTTCACTGTTGTAATGCGTCTAATGTGTGTTCCTCCTTTCTTTTTTTGTGTGTAATTTCTCGGAAAAGGGAAACTTCTACTACAGCCAGACCAACAAGTGAAAATGATTTATTCATGTTCAAAAGTCTGAATTGTTATTTGTTGAATTGACATGACTTCTTGTTGCATCATATACGAAATATTTTCATGTTCAGTCAACCTAATCTGCTCTACAGGTCTCAGCCATTGAGTTGCAACGCTTTGACTGTTTTGTTCATCAATTACACGATCATTTCAGATTTGTGAAGTATTTTGTACATCATTATACCCGGGGCCAGATGTGTATGCCTTTTCTCAAACTGGTATTTAGGCAAGGGCGTAGGTTTGCATATGGTTTTGACATGTCCCGACAAATATTTTGGGAGACCGAAACGACCCGATCAATATTTGAGCAAACTTCTCAAATAAAATTTGCATTATCTTTGGAGTGGAAAGACGCACAGCACAGAGAGAAGGAGAGAGGAGCAGACTGAAGAGCAGTAATACGCTTCTGGCCTGCTCATAGTAGTCAGCTGACGTCACCGAGGTAAATCATTTCCTCACTGTCTCACCGTCTCACTTCATCTGAATGAAGCGAAAACAGCTTGATACTGGCGGCCATCAATAAGAGAGCTACCTGTTGTTGTGAGGTGACTGGAGAACATCCATGGTCACTGCAGTGATCTTACACAAAAACTATATGAAACCTGAAATGGTACTTGGTGATGTATGCACAGTGGTCAGCTGACCACAAGTGTCCAGACAGTCCGGCCCTCTCCTCCGTGCTCCGGAGTGTGATGGTGAGACAGTACTGAAAAAATATTAAGCGGAATTTGAGTTGGTTTATATGTATTTTTTACTATTGAAATGTTCTTTTGGGATAGTAATGGCTCACTAGCACAAGCACAAATAACTCCTGGCATATATCACATATCAGATCTGACAGAGTTAATATCTAACAACTACGGATTATAATAAACAAATTCAGAACCCATCAAATATCACTGATAATACTGACTTTTTCACAGCATAAATGTCATGTCACTACCACGCAGCTACAGTGGAAAGAAAGAAAATCATACTCGTCATATTATTCCGAGCCCTCTTATGTTTGATTTGGTGCTGTATACGCACTGATGGTGTTAACCACTGATGCCCACCACATGCATACAGAACCAGATGTTGGAAAGATCACCTGCCCACACTTTCTGTTGCCAAATGTAAAATAGTCCACACAAATCTACACTAACCAGATTTAAACTTTTATACAAAAGCATTTTTGACAAAGTCTATCAGAAGTGGAGGATTAGCACTCTCATGTGCTGACACATTGTGTAATAGATTTAATGTGTCTTCTCTTATACATTATGGAATTATATCATCACCAAGACATATTCAGTTCAGTTGTGTCTTTGCTTACATCCAGGAGGAAACAAATGTCACCAACATTGTATTGTATATGACATGAGCTTTTTGTTAACTTTATAATGGAAATAAGTATAATGGGAAATAAAAACACAGGTGACCCAAATGACATCATTAACTTATAAATGGCTAATATATTTTCATGAATAATTTGTACACGACCCATTGGTTTGGATCTATATTCTTCATGATATCAAAATAAATAAAGTGTGCAAAATGTCCAAGAATATTTTTTTCATAGGTCATAAAACAATTTAGACAAACAATGTGAGGACCGGTTTTCTTGCACATGCGGCTTTACAGTCACAACAAGTTACAATTTTGTTTTTATATTGCTATTCTCTTACATGATATCAAAATATATTTTTAAATTTAAAATCTAGTTCAATTATTAGTAACCACGGGGGGAGGCGAGTGGAAAGAGTGAGTCAGGGTAATTTTGTGGGTTTTGAAGTTTCACTTTCCTCTTTCAAAAATCCCCTTGATCACAGGAAGTACGATGAGGTATGTGTCTGAAGAGAGTATTTAAAGGCGACCCTTGGTCTCTACCCCTCACAGTTCTCTTTGACTCTAGTCTATCCCTCTAGCTGCACTTGTTACAGCTCCTCTCTATCACCTTCATCACAGCACCAGTGTCTTCTTCACCAAAAAGGAAACCGACGATGTCCGGCATCATGAAAGTGTTTGTGCTCCTGGCTGTCATGGTCTGCATCTCTGAAGCCCAAAGTAAGTTTTAATACTTCTTTAGCATTCACCACTCTAATGTGGACAATGTGATCTTTGTTTTATACAGTTCTATATGTGTTGGTAGCTGTAAGAAGTGAAAAATGAACTGAATTAATGACTTTTTTTTTTCTTTGTCTTTCTCTAGTGGGTCACACATCAGGAAAACTGTGTCTGTGTCAAAAAACGAGGGATAGAATCACCTCAAAGAATGACATACAGGACATCCAGGTCTACTCAGCAACCATCTTCTGTGACAAAGTGGAGATTGTGTAAGACGCCTTGAAATCTTTAATTAAGATTGTGGAAATGTGGTATCTTAGTGCAATAATGTGTCCTGATTAGAAAAGAATGATTTGCTATTTGCATTTTGTGTGCTAATTGGAAGCTTCTCAGTAAACCTTTCACACATAACACCTAGGCTGGCATTTTATCAATTTCTATCCAATATTTCTCAAAGGCACTTCTAGTCATCAATCTAACTGCCTCTACTTTCCATTTCAACAGTGTCTCCCTCAACAGCGGCCGTCGCTATTGCCTGAACCCCAAGAAGGAGGCAGTGCAAAAACTCATGGCTTTCATCATGTGAGTATTATTACAGACATGAATCCGAGCCTCATCTTCAAAATACACCGATCACCCAACTTCTAATATGAATCTTTTAGTTAATCTCCATATTTCGTAATGAATTACATGATGCCTCCTCCACACTGTTGTAATGTGTCTAATGTGTGTTCTTCTTCTTTGTCATTTCTAGGAAACAGGGAACCTCTTCTACAGCCGGACCAACTAAGCTCACCTCCACCACCAACACAGCTCGCGTCTGACTCTTTAAGTCCTCCGATCAATATGAAGAGCAGATGACCTCTGACCCCCACAACAAAGGCACCTTAAACGAATGCAGATGTGAAATGAAATACACTTTTTGTCTATTTATCTTCTATTTATACTGATGTGCACTTACAGTATGATCTCCGTTCCATTTTATTTTATTTTATCTGTTTTTGTAAATAGATGTATGTGTTGTGAACCAAGTTTTATGCATTTTGGAATTGTCAGTGTTTTTTTAAAATAATAATAATAAAAGCTCAAGGAAGCATGAACTAAAAGTAAAGTGTTTGTTGTTCCCTACATCAACAGTGTCACCTTGTGGTTCAGGACTGCAAATGCAAGAAATGCAGTTCATGTGTTATGTCACTGATCTCATACAGAATTAGAATGCACAGCATTGAATATCAGAGCGAATCCCTCTTTAAGGCGTCTTCTCAACACACTTAATGGGTCTTACTATGTACATGTATCAGATACCAGAGGACACCAAAGCTGCAGTGACTCTGAGATTACAGGGTGAATAACACGCCAGCACCATCTGTTTTCTCTGACAGGGGCGGCTCAGATCAATGATTCTTATAGGCTGTAATGCTCTAACCCATCACACACACACACACACACACACACACACACACACACACACACACAC